GACGAGGAAGGAGAAATAATTTTTAAAATTTTTATTGCCATGTCACTAGTTTTTGCCATGTTGTCTTTCACGTGGAGTAAAATTTTGACATGTCATCATCTTACCGTGAATTAACAGTACAGGTGGAGAGGTGTTTAACAGAAAGACCAAATCGGGGTAAAAATGGTAAACAGTAGGGACCAAATCAGGGATTTTTTGAGTTCAGGGACCAAATCGGGGGTCCGTACAATAGTTGAGGGACCAAAAAGAGGTTTTAACTTTTTTTATAATATATTAATTTTTAATTTTCCTTTTATATATTAATTAAATTAATAATTTTTTATTTTGGATTTTTTTTTGAAGAATTTTATTTATTTTCGATTGAATAATAACAAGCAAGCCTTTTCTATTGCTTAGCCACTTCACTGAAATACTCACGATTTGAATTTAACATATTTTATTATCTCTAAAAGGTTTAATTACTTGTGCTAAATTGTTTGAATTATTGAAAAAATAATATTATTTTGTTGTACACACTTTATTCAAAGGAAAAAAAACCTAAAATGGGGAATAGTTAGGTGTGTGTAAAGTACTGTTTTCCAAATCACAGACATTTGTTCTAAGCGCTTCAAGTGAAGCATTAAAGGGTAGTTTGCATTAGTTGTTCAAATTTAATAGATAGTTAATAATTGATAATTTATAATCAATAATTGATAATTTATAATTAATAGTTAATAGTTGTTGTTGTTTAATAATCAGTGTTTGATAATAGAGCTATTATATGTTACTAGTAAAACATTAAATTACTATTAGAGATATATTTCATGTTAATTAAATTATTTATCATTGGGATTTGGAGTTTTTTTTATTCAAAATTAAAAATTAAAAATTAAAATTACTAACTTATTGAGTATGAAATTTTAAAACAAATATCAAAAACTTAAAACTTAATTAATTTATAGAATTACTTAATTTTATTAGAGGTTATAAATTTTTAAAAATCAAAATAAAAAACTCAAAATCATAATCATATTAAACAAAGCCTAAAGTTTATCCTTTTTCAATATATAAAGAAAAGAATAATATCACATTTTCTTAATTTCAAAATAAAAAAATACTCATTATTATATCCAACTATGTAATTCACGTTAATAAATAATAATACCAATATCCCTTTCTCTGACACCTTAATTTTCCTTTCATTTCTAATTTCTTTCAGCCTCCTAAACCCCGTTTTGCCTCTCCATCTTCTCCTATATATTCTACAATTCTCCGATTTAATAATAATAATACTTATATATTACTTCTATTATATTATACATCATGAATTTTTTGATGAGTAAATTTTTATAGATATCTTCTGACCAAGAGTGACAGAGAGATATGGAAGCTAGAGAAGGTGGTGCAAGAAGAAGACGAGGCGCATACTAGAGGGATCTTTTGCAGATCATCATTGACTCTGTGCTTCATGTTGTTTCCAATGAAGTAGAAGATTGCAATTGCTTACAAGGTTTGACCTAGATTTATATCATCATCCTAATTATGTTAGTTTGTTAGGAAAATAATTTAGGGTTTATATGGGTATTTTCTTAATTGTAGGTTTGAGGTGTGCCATTCCCTTGGTAGGGGAACTGGGTCTTGTTTTGGAACCCTTCTGATTTTCGAATGAGGAAGCAAACATGTTTGTTGGTTGTTGAGATTCCGCATTAGAATAAATTCAAAACACTCCCTAATTCTGCTAAGGAGATTTTGATGGATTAAATTAAGGCATATAAGTTAATATATAAATATTTAAATCACAAATGTTTTTGGATCCAATAGCTACACTCGGTAACTATTGGAAAACGCAACTATTAAGGGTCTTTATGATTATTAGTTGATTTCTAATAACTGACAAAAATTATTTACTAAACACTTATATTTGGTTGATTAAGGCCCAACAATTATCAACTGTCTCCGAAACCTTCAAAACAAACAACCCCTAAGAGTTTAGTTTTAAAAAGTCTATAGGGTTGAATACATAATTTTAACTGTAAGGTTGTGGGACTATAAAAGGAAAGGAGTATGTTTTATAAGTTTATTGTATAATCCATCAAAAATCAAGGGTTATATATTTTTTGCCTTAATCGTTTTTGTTGTCAAATGAGTTGAGAGTCCAAGGAGTTGTGATTTAGTTAATGAAGATGTTTGTTTTTTTATCTTATTAATCAAAATTCAATTATTTAAAAAAGTAATTTTTCATGAATTTTCTAATTTCGATGTAAGTAACTTACCTTTGATCTAACTTGAGATAGATTAAAAGGTGTGCACAACTTGATCTAAAAACTACTTAACTAAAGAGAAAGTCCATTATATCCCAAAAATAGAGCAAGCGTGGTATTTCAAACCATTTAAAAAATACCACATCTGTTTTTTTTTTTTTTCACACTTTATCAATCACCTAACG